GTTCATATTGCTTTTCCTTTTCTTATATATTACATCAGGCAATGAGTATCTCAATCCAAGATATTTTTTCATATGTTAAACTTTTTTCTCAATGATAAATATGTTGTTCAGACTACCTCAAATGATTTCAGGATTAGTGATTTGTTCTTAATCAGTCACCAGGGATATTGATAAATACCAGCAAGGGACTGTACTAGCCCTTCCTTCTGTGTTGAGAAGAATAAACCGATTTCCTAACTCAATCATTTATTAGAATGAAAAACATATCAGGGTCAGCTTTTCAGAATTTTATTAAAAAAAATCTTTGCTCTGATTCAAGTGTTTTTCAAAAGGAATTTGTTTTTTGTTCTTCCCTGAAACCCATGTCTACTCTCTAATCTTCAAATAACAAGTCATTTACTAATTGTTTCTCTTTGACCTCAAAATTACCTTTGTACTTGATCATCCAACTTTCTATTTTTGCTCTGCCCTTCCCAAAAAGAAGTTTCATGCTCTGATGTATGACCAATCTATGGCACAAAGTCAGAGGGCAAAGCTGATTCTAGTTTGCTTCTTGGTTGAGATGTGCAGTCTGACTTGTTCTATAACTCTCTTCCCTCATCTATATAATTGTCATAGTCATCCTAATATAATATTTTTCATTTAATCTTCTTGCCTAGATACTTTCACAAGAAACTAAGCACTGGGTATCATTCTCCCCAGATTACAGAGCTGCAGAGATTTCCCATAGATAAAGGCTTATGGTGATGGGCTTTTAGATACCACCTCTACTCCCCTTTAGTGACAGCCCTGGGAACATAAAAAGATTGAGATGATGGTGGTTACTTTGTCCTGGTCCCAACATCCAAGGAGAGGCCCATAGGTAAATCAGTAATCCCAGGACCACAGTGATTGCAGGAAGGTTCTTAACTTATTTTTCCTGTTACTTTAAAGATACACTGAGAATTTAATTGTTTTTGTTCAAATAAAAATCAACTTCCAGACAATGGAAAAATACTTGTGCATGTGGGAGTCAGTGTTAGCAACTACTTTAAGAATATTCTAGGTGCTGAACTGGTTAAGGAAGCAACTAGTTATAAGCAGTTTATTAAAATCTGAACCCATTATAGCCAATCATTCACACTTTGTATCTCAAATGATCTCCTTCTCAAGACTTTGCTTTTTCTTCTGCAAGGAAAAATAAAGTCTTCATTTTCATTCTGCTTTGCAAGGAATTTCTTTACCCTTTCCTAAGCTTATCAGTGTATCACTTTCTAAATCAGCTTAGCAGGTCGACTGTGACCTTTCCAATTGAAAACGAACATCTTCCTTTTTATCCACTGGCAATAGTAGCTCTGGGCATAAAATTACTCAGAAGTGATTTAATAATGTATTTGAACACAGATGCAACCCACGCCCTTCTCACTGATGATTTTCCTGATAATAAAGAAAAAGGCCGTTTCAGAATAGAAATAACTTCTCCAAAGCTGAGCTAAATTTGCCTGCGGAATTTTGATTGGTTCAGTCCGGATGATTCACTTTACAGTAAATTTCAAGTCTGTGGTCAGAAAATTTGTAAGTGTGAGTCAGACAAAAGGGAACCTTAATAAAGCAGAAGCCTGCAACTCTGGTATTCCACTTGGAATGAACACTCAAGCACTAATCAACTGACTTCTGAACAGTCTGTCTGGGAGTATCTGTATGTTGCAGAAGGCTCATTCTTCCTACAAAAATCTGTGCTTTCCTGCGAGAGGGCTGTGGAAGTGGAACCTGCTGTCCTTTTGTGCAGCAACCCTGGGTATTATTACCATATTATCCAGCCAGCTGACAAGAAGAGATTAAACATTATTTCAGCAGCAACGCATAAAAACTCTAAGCAAGTCCATGGATCCGTGGCGACCTCCAATGAACCCTTGCTATATGACTCAGAAGCAAGATGCAGTCAGCTTGTGGTTTTGAGAAGAGGCAGATCCTGACTTCTCTGCCTCACTGAATTCACTACAGGCTTCAGAATTAGAGCTCCCTAGCACAAAGAGAGAAATTAGCTGATTCTCACACAGCACATTACTAGAAGGGCTCAAAGAAATGTATTTGAAATGCAAAGAATTGCTATTCCTAAAGATTTAAAATCCTCAGACTCACCAGAGGACTATTCTGAGTGCAGAGAGAGGAAACCCAGGTCAAAAGGGCAAACTTGAAGTCTCTCTCCACCCTGTATCTTACTTCCACCAGGCAGATTGTATTTTTGTAGTTGGAGTTTAAGTCTGCCAATTTGCATTAGCATATCATCCGCCTGGTTACTAGGAAAATCTGCCTAAAGAAAAACAGGAGGATATTCATGGGCATTAAGTTTACAGCATGAGCATGAGTCAGCAGTTTGAGATCACCAGGCTGGGGCTGATGCAGGCTGGGGAGCCAGCAGAGAGTGTAGAAACACTCCAGACTGTCAGGCTGCTGTGCTTCAACATCTCCGGGTTGCAGAACAGCCACCTAGGGCTAAGAAAGAGGCTAGGGAGATCCATGACGTAAGAACTTCCTTATTTACCTCTATGGTATTTCTGGACTCCTTTAACAAATACTGACCAACTATGAAGGCAAACAGTCACTTGACAGTAATTGTGTAAGAATCTTTGTATTAAAAAAAAAAAAACAGAAATCAATGCAAAAGGGACTATTCTGCTTTGCTTTGGACATTTTATATCACTGGTGTTTGAAAGTTATGTTAAAAAGTATGGCTGATTTACGCTTGAACAATAAATGTGCAAGATGCAAAATAGTTTCAAATTCCCGTAATGCTAGCAGGACTAGTGATAATTGACAATCTGTTTTGTTTACTTTTTTTCCTGCCATGCATAAGACAATGCCCACCCCACCATAAATACTGGGGAATGATTAATGAATGAAGTTTGCTTTTCTATCTTCTTTTATTCGGGTCTTAGGCTAGCTCTCTGTGTATTGGTTCTATGAAATGTTTAAGCAAAGTCATGACCACATTGCTGCATCACAATAATATCTAGAAAGCACTTTTTCAAATGTGTTCTCACAAAGCAATCTTTAATCAAGTGAAGAAACTGAGGCACAAGCAGGTCAAATGATTTACCCAAAATGAAAGGAATCACATCTGTGGTAGAACTAGTCCTTGAAGGCCCATCTGGTTTTTCCTCCCTCTGTCATAAATTATCAAAACAGCAGTGAAAACTCTACTATTTGCCTTCAACTTGGACTAAGCCTTGGGCTACAGCATTGCTTTTTACAAGGAGTCTGTGATCAGGGCAAGTAATCAGTAAATCCCATTATCGGTCATAAAGCTACATAAAACTTTGCTTCATCAGATTGCTTTTTGAGGAGTCAGGAAGTTGAGATTAGTAGCCTTCAGGAGCAGCCCCTCATAGAGATGGGGAGACCACAGCAGAGATGAAGTAGACACAGGGATGCTGGGCCCCTGGGAGGGGAGAGGGGCAACAGTGTGGTGCAGATGACATTTTTTTCTCCCTTCAGCCCACATCATTCTCTCCCTAAGCTGTGAGTACCAGCATCATTTTGTGGTTCTTCTAGGTGGTTCTCTAATGCCACAGTTTCATACTGGTAGGATTATTTGGGCAACTCTATCCAGAGTCAGAATGCTCCTTTGGAAAATGTGCTATTGATTTTCTAGATGTACTGGATGTAAACTTCTTTCTGCATTGAAGTCCTATAGAGCAATGGGAAATTTTCTTTCTTTTCAAACCAGTGGCTATTTTTTGAGTCTCCTCTCAGGCTGTGCGCAAACCACTGGTGAATACCACCATAAATCTGTATGTTGAAAATCATCTTCACTACATATCTTATTCTTTTTAGAAAAAAATATTAATTTTGATTATACTTTAAAAGAATTTATTATAAAAATCCTCCTGTAATAGCACAGACCTCTTGGGAAACTTGACCTCTTATGAGTGAAGAGAAACAAAATATTGTGAAGTTAAACCGCATGTACCTTCATCCTGGCTCTTAGCAACAAAGCAACTTTATAAAATTTTATCATAAATTATTAACATTTTTTCTTAAAGGACAAGAAAGTATGTGTCAGCCAAAGAGAGAAAATACTGCCATGATTTGTACTTCTTAAATGATTCATAGTAAACAGTAAAACACAAATATTTGTTTGGCTGTTTGCTGGTTTATAAAATGTTTTTGTCAAAAAGAATTTAATAGGAACTATAACTGCTTTGACTCAAATCTGATTAAAACTTCAGAGTTTGGGCATCACAATGTAAAATCCATCATCATAAATGTTAGAGATTTATGGACCAACTGTAATGGAAGAACACATACATGCCTGGCTAGGTGCTCTGGGTGGGGCTGAAATTGAAGTCTGATTGTACGCTTGCTTCTCTAATACTAGAGCAATCCTTCCTCAGAGCATTCCAGCTAAGTTTATAGTGAACTACTTTATAATGAATTTTCAATGAATCCCAAACTAAAACAAGCGCCACCTGAATAGCAAGTCATAAAATGTAAACAATAGCTGTATTTCTGCTCTGGCATGCTTTTGGTTCTCATCTATAAATTGGTTGAATCAATGTTTTATGGTTTAAGTAAGGTGAGGAAGTTGTCATGACTACAAAAGTCCTTTATAAATGCAGAATGTTATACAAATGTCAGTTACCACTTCTCTTAGGAATAATGTTGGTAAGCTGATTTAATACAGTTTAAGGCATGATAATAAACAAAAGAAAACGATTCAGTTCATCTTAAATTGCTCAAACATCATGGTTTCTGCTATAGTTTGGATGTGGTTTGTCTTTTGAGGGCCACAGATTGGAGGCTTAGTCTCAGGGTGGATGTAGGGCAGCATCTTTAACAGGTGGGTACTGATAGGAAGCCCTTAGGTCATTGGGGACATTGCCCATGAAAGGGAATTAGTTAGTTCTGCTGGTGCACTGGTTAGTTCTCATGGGAACACTGCTACAAAAGCCTGAGTTTGGTGCCACCCAGTCTCTCTCCGGTTTCCTAATTGGGGATGTTATTTCTTCCTCCTCCAGGGACTCCCACCATTGCATCTGCCACAAGATGATGCAGCCAAGGGGATGTTAATGTCTTGCCATGCTGCTTGAACTTTCAGACTCCATAACTGTGAGCAAAATAAACTATTTTTCTTTATAAAGCTAACCTTCCTGAGGTATTTTGTTAGAGTAACAAAAGTGAATTGCAATAGTTTCCAAATAAGGACTCTGATTATTCCTCCAGAAAGAGGAAAAACATAGAAGAGACACATATACTTTGCCAAGCAATTCATAGAAAGGACGTACATTTAGATATACTTTTATTCAAACAGCACTTCATACATGTGAGGAGCCTTTATCTTGGTGCTACAGAATATATCCATGAAAAACATCTTGACCCTTGAAAAAGAGTGAAACCCTAATCAAGAAACATTGGATAGAATTTAAATGTGTAAAACATAATTTTACGTGAAGGATTAGGTATCAATAAAGATATGCACATTGTTTATTATAGTTTTGTTTTGTGAACTTGGCATTGCCCCACTCTTATGTCCTGTGTTTTTTTGGCTGTCACTGAGCATGTGTGAAGTCGGAAGTGGGAAGAAGCAGGAAACAGTGAGTTAACACATAATGGCTTGGAGTACAGAAAGAGCAATTATCAGCAATCCAAGTACAAGATAGAGTTGGAGGCAAAGCTTTCTGCACAGAGTTGGAAAGAACTGTGGTAGAATTAATCTTACACACAACCACAGTCCTGGCTTCCACAGAACTCTATGCTCAACTTTGCCTTCATTCCCTGCATAATTGGGAAATCCAGTATTTGATTCTGTTAAATTTACGTTTTTATTTTTTAGTAGAGAGAAGAATAATGGAGCGCAGGAAAGAAAAAGTAGTAAATCGTTTAAAAGAAGACAGAGGCACTAGAAACTGTCTTTGTGGAAAGAGTGGAACATTAAAAGCAAGCAAGAAGGCAAATTTTATTGCAAGGAAATGAGGTACAAATCAATACAAGGTAAATAGGTGCCAAATCAGAGGAAAGACTGGAGATAGAAATTTTGGCTTTGATCAAAACAACTCACTAGTGTACTGTCTGTGCCGAGGTCTTCAGATTCAGTGTGTTTACTTATATTTGCTCCTCGGATCACTACCACTATTTGGTTTCAGCATATGCCTCTTCCAACAGACAAGTGGACTTGACATTCTGATTCTCTATCAGCCACTGTGCTTGACCACTTAAATGCTTACTTGAACTTTTTCTCCAAATTCATGGTAGCCTCCCACCCCCTGTCTTGTCTTTACAATAGTTTGATTGTCACTTAATGGATTTACAACAGCCTGAGAAATAACCACTTACCTACCTTCTTTTCCTGGGTGGCTTCAGTCTGTTCATTTGTGTCTCCAATAGTTGAAGTGTCACCCAGACATTTCCAAAGAGATGTACCGAGAGTTACCCCCTTCTTTCACAATATTACCTCATTACACGATACAAACTATCACCAAGTCTTAGAAATTCCATCTTCTAAATACAATTTTCACATCTATTGTGGAAGGAAAATATCTAAAAATATCTTGGGAACGTGTTGCTTTAGAGACAGAGTGGGCATTAAAGAAATCATCAAGAGCCAGGTTTTTAGCTCAGCAGCATAAGCACCTACCTGGCAAGTACGTGGTCATGAGGTTAATTCCTGGTACCATAAAAAAAAAATTTCCAAGCCCCAATTTTCATTTTATAACTAAAAGAACTGTGAGCAGAGTGGTTGCTACTCACAGGTCACATGTCTTTTATGAAGAAGCAGGACAAAAGTTTGCTCATTGGCTCTTATGATTGTGCTTTTCCTTTTTACAGTATCAACTCTTCCAAATAATAACATGCTATGGTATATTCTATCATATTCTGTCATAATTGGGCACACTTTCCCATAAGTAACGGACTCTTTAGATTGTTCTACTCAACATTCTTTTTCTTGCAGTGATTTTGAGATGCTTCCAAATACTTGGAGACACAATGCACAAGCAGTATGCAGCATACTTAATGCCGAATGCATTAGCTGCCAGAATGATCAAGAGTGAAAAGAGAATTGCACACAAAGGCCGACATAGGAACAAATCTCCTGCTTGTTCTGTTTGAGACGTGTGCTGAAGATGGGTGACTGATATTCCTCTATACAAGTGTAAACGGGGAATGTACTTCATCATCATACTGCCTTGTGACTTAGCAGGGCTGCATCCAAAGATATCTAAATGCACATAAATGGCTTAGGCTCTGTAAGTCAGAGAATGACAGAAAAAGAGATCAGTCAGTTAGTGCCAACAGGATGGAAGTGAAAAATGAGAGGCGCGATCCGTAGCTAGGCCTAGTGTTAGAACATTAATAAGGACAATGGCACTGAAAATTCAACACAGACACCTCTAAGAGGAAGTCGTCTAGGCAGAAATGGTGCCAAAAAGCGTAAATGACAGGAAGTCGCTTCTTTATGTTTGCTATTAGTGTTCCCACATTTTTATTACAGATTGTCCTGAGGGAGTCAAGCTGTGTATCCTAAACTTGAGTTGCCCCTCACATCCTTTTGTGCAAAGTCTGGAGTATGTTGTGCTGCTTCTTCAGACTAATTTGCAGGAAATGAGGTCTTCTAAATATCCTCAACTTCCTAAATTGCTATAAAAATAATGAATTTAGTGCACAGAATTCCAAATTTGATAAACAGGTTTAATTTTATCTTATTCATGTGATAAATTTTATTTTTCCATATGTATTAGAAGGTTTTCCATTGCCTGGGCCTGAGGGCTTGCCAAGAAAACATCACATTTTAAAACACATTTTTTTATCACTAGACCATTCCCTATGACCCTTAGACATATAACTAGATGAAGTCATCACCTTATAATATGCAGCCATTGTTATATGTATAATGTAAATATGATTGATTTTAGCTATATTTCAAAAAGCAGTCATTAATATTTTTTCCAGGGAGCCCCTGCAGCTGAATAGCCCAACTATTCATGTTTTTCTGAGACTAAATCAGATATCCAGTTAGTCTCCAAGTGATTGGACTGACTATATTCTGATTGTCTGGTTATATCTAAGACAGTTTGCGTATACCTCACTGACCCCAAGAGAAATGAAATCCAATGTTTGTATTTCAGGGGTGGTGTCAGGCAACAGGACACCTATTACATGACTTGCTGTTGCTCTTAGTAGCACTGACTTCTGATGACAAAACTGCTGTCCATTCTCCAACTAGATAAGAAACTCTTTCTCAAGAACCTATGGGTGTTCAAAAGATTCTGTTCTTGCTTCTCCGTTGTGAAGAACAAAATTTTCCTTGGGAAAGAGAGAAGCTTTTAACATTTCACTCCACTCTTTTGCTAAGCCTTCTTCCATCTCAAGAGTCTCAGAGGAGATGTTAATTCTTGCTTGTGTTTTATCTATTAACTTTGAATCTGAGTCTTTGTTTGGAGGCCACAATGGTTCAGTGAAAACAAGACCTGTTTGAGCTCTGTTTGCTGAACTAGAACATGAATCTTATATTCATATGTAAGAGAATACTACTGATTTCTGTAGAGAAAATAAATCTGATTCCTGAATTGAAATTTGAATACTTTCTGTACTTTGAGATACCAAAAACATTTTGTCTCACATTTTACAATGTCACAGTCAACTGCTTTTCACTCAAAAGTGTATATCCAGGAAAATGTTTTTTAAAAACCTGTTTTTCTCTATCACCTTTATTGTGTAATTAAGCACCATTAACTTTGGTTTGCATCAATTAGTTCATCTTTGAACATGGGATCCCACTCACAGAATTTGTGAAACCAGCAGGTTTATCAGCAGTGCCTTGGTTTTAGAAGCTACTCCTTGCATTTAGAAGCTACTCCTTGCATTTACCAAGAAAAGGAGAACAGCCTGTGTGTGAATGCTCTATTTTTACAGAGCACATTTTCAAGGAGTTTTAGTGGAAACAGAGTACTTTATAACTTTAAAAAAAATTTCAATATTCTTGGTTAAAGAAATGCAACTTCAGAAGAAAATACGACATGGAGCACCCAGGAATAGAAGAAAAGGGAATTAAAATGAAGATATTAGGAGTTTGGATGCTTGTATCTCCATCATGCTTCACTCACCAAACTGCCTGAAATAATCACACAATGTTAAAACAAAGGAGTGGGCTTAATAATGAAATGCAATTTTTAAAACAATCCTCAGCTCCTCTTCCAAAAAAATAATCACTTGTGCTTGCTTTGGCAAAACATATACCAAGCAAATAGTCACTCATAAATACACAGTGTGCCAAAATTCTGGAAGCTACTACCTTCTAATCTAACAGAGCTTAATAGTGATCGCAAAAAATCTCTAAAAATATTCCATTCAAGCCCAAAATAAATTTGAACTTCTGTATCTTTTTCTCTGCATTATTATCCAGTAGTGATAAATCTTGAGTTCAAGCAACTTGTACGTGGAGTATATTAATAGTGATGATATTATCAATAATGCTGGTGAAGTACTTACGTACTTACTATATTAAGTGCATTATTAAGCACTTATTAGAAACCAAACTCTGTTAAGTTCTTGTTGTGTTTTGTTCCACTTGGTTCTGATAGTAGCACTGTGTGAAGTAGATATAATTATTTTTCCCATCTTAATTGAGAAAACAGAATCTCAAAGGCATAAATGACTTGCTAAGAGTCACACAATGAGTGGCAGAGCTGAGACATTAACACAGGCTCTTTTGGAAAAGCCAAAGCATATAGCCACCAAGTTGTACTGGCAAAATGGAGAGCAGATATTTGAGTTTTTAAGAGTGCACACATGCATGTTGATGGATGATGAGAAACTAAATATGAAATTAGCTTGGCTTGTGAAGGTAGAAACATATTTATTGTCTTTCCTGGGATGTAAGCTGTTGACAGAAAGTAGACCCTAGAGAAGACAAGCACTTGATTCTCAATAAAATATCTGCATTAAATATTCAGCTTTCCTGCAGCTTTATGTGAGTGCATTAGGAGAGGCCTGGGCAAACTGGCGATCATTCAGACTTGGCATAAACAAATCCCTACATCTGCCCTGTTAGAAGCCAGATACATTATAACCTCATGGAATCAAGAAATGGAACCTGTAGCACACAATTGTAG